GGAATGGAAGACCCAAAGTTAACTCTGCTGCAGAGGATAATTTCATTAGATTTACTAGCCTCAGAAATCGCAGCCCAAATAAATGCTTCACAGAGTTCAAGTAACAGACACATCTCAACATCAACTGTTCAGAGGAGACTGTGTGAATCAGTCCTTCATGGTCGAATTGCTGCAAAGAAACCACTACTAAAGGACACCAATCAGAAGAAGAGACCTGCTTGGGCCAAGAAACATGAGCAATGGACATTAGACCGGTGTAAATGTGTCCTTTAGTCTGGAGTCCAAATTGGAGATTTTTGGTTCCAATCGCCGTGTCTTTGTGAGACGCGGTGTGTGTGAACGGATGATCTCCGCATGTGTATTTCCCACCGTAAAGCATGGAGGAGGTGGTATTATGGTGTGGGGGTGCTTTGCTGGTGACACTGTCTGTGGTTTATTTAGAATTCAAGGCACACTTAACCAGCATGGCTACCACAGTATTCTACAGCGATTCGCCATCCCATCTGGTTTGGGCTTAGTGGGACTATCATTTGTTTTTCAACAGGACAATGACCCAACACACCTCCATGCTGTGTAAGGGCTATTTGACCAAGAAGGAGAGTGATGGAGTGCTGCATCAGATGACCTAGCCTCCACAATCCCCCAAACTCAACCAAATTGAGATGGTTTGGGATGAGTCGGACTGCAGAGTGAAGGAAAAGCAGAAAACAAGTGCTCAGCATATGTGGGAACTCCTTCAAGACTGTTGGAAAAGCATTCCAGGTGAAGCTGGTTAAGATAATGCCAAGAGTGTACAAAGCTGTTATTTGAAGATTCTCAAATATCAAATATACTTTGATTTGTTTAACACTTTTTTGGTTACTACATGATTCCATATGTCTTATTTCATAGTTTTGATGTCTTCACTATTATTCTACAATGTAAAAAATAGAAAAAAATAAAGAAAACCCTTGAATGAGTAGTGTATATATTTGAATAAGACATTGTGACTGGCAATGAGCAGACTGCAGTGTCTTCTGAGGTAGTTTACCTACGGTAGGATTTTATGACTTAGCCATACATTTGCCCAAGTTGCCATACTGACGGAAAGCCATGGAAGCATACATGATATATATGTGAAATATAACACCATACAATGCACCACAAAACTCCAAATTCATTCATTCACTTTGGGCACTACCAAGTTAATAATTTGAAAGAGCTTAATTACGTTTCTTGCACACCCACTGTTTTAAGACAACACGGGTGTACAAGTTAAGGAATTAAACATCTGTGAGGAATGCCATTTTCAAGTGAGTTGAGAGTAGAGTGCAAAATAATCTTAGAATCTAGAATCTTAGAATCTGGAAATCTAGAATCTTCGAGTCTTCGACCTACAGTAAGACTGGGCTGGCCACACAAGGTGAGAGAGAGATTTAGAGTGCAATCTGCTTACCCCAACAAGCTACAGTACAGAAGGAACCCTCCTCTGATCATTGTGAATTCATTTCTTTTTCCATTTGTAGAGTTTTGATGCTCAACAGAGACTAAACACATTACTTTAGGCCTATGTATGTGCAGAATGAGAATAACATCCAGTTTCACCCCACCAAATCAAAAGAGGGGAGATGGAAATAAACAACGACAACAATGCAGCTAAACCTCTACAGCTTGACGGCTGCTAAAACAGGTCAATCAACCCGACTCAGATTTCAAAGGTAAAATAAAGAGGTATTATAGGTACAGTGCAAAAAGGATGAGAAATTCAAGCTTAACACACAAAAAAACATGGCACCAAAGAAAATGCATGCAATCAACTGAGGTATTCAAGTGAAAAGGGCCTAATGATACTTTTGAGAGAAAATAAAGACATTTAGTCTACAAAGCTATGTTGTCACATAAGCTATGTCACAATGTGTTTGAACTAAATAATAAAACAAAAACGCTGGTATCCATATCCCTAGGAACTCACATGTGCAACCCTGTAGCGCCACATCTACATAAGCTTTGGTAAGTGAAGGGATGTGTGAACCGCAAGTCTGTTGAAGAACAACGTTGTCTGTGTGTTCTAAAGACTGTACTTAAAAGGTGCTCTGTGCCTTACAGAAGTATCCAATTCATACAAAATCTGCAGCATATTACCTGGGTGATAAGTCTTATTTTTCATGTCTTTTTCATAATATCTCAGTCAATAAAGAGACATAATTAAATGCTAAAAAAATAACCATCAAAAGGAATATTATCAATCTTAGTATCAAAAGAAATACACCACCGTTTAAAAGTTTGGGGTCACTTAGAAATGTCCTTGTTTTCCATGAAAACGTACAAGAAATGAGTTTGAATAGGAAATATAGCAAAATGAATAGGAAATGTAGTCATTGACAAGGTTAGAAATAATGATTTTTAATTGAAATAATAATTGTGTCCTTCAAACTTTGCTTTCGTCAAATAATCCTCAATTTGCAGCAATTACAGCCTTGCAGAACTTTGGCATTCTAGTTGTCAATTTATTGAGGTAATCTGAAGAGATTTCACCCCATGCTTCCTGAAGCACCTCCCACAAGTTGGATTGGCTTGATGGGCACTTCTTACGTACCAAGCTGCTCCCACAACAGCTCAATAGGGTTGAGATCTGGTGACTGTGCTGGCCACTCCATTATAGACAGAATACCAGCTGACTGCTTCTTTCCTAAATAGTTATTGCATAGTTTGGAGCTGTGCTTTGGGTCATTGTCCTGTTGTAGGAGGAAATTGGCTCCAATCAAGCGCCGTCCACAGGGTACGGCATGGCGTTGCAAAATGGAGTGATCGCCTTCCTTCTTCAAGATCTCTTTTACCCTGTACAAATCTCCCACTTTACACCATCACATTGCCTCCACCATGCTTGACAGATTGCATCAAGCACTCCTCCAGCATCTATTCATTTGGGCTGCGTCTCACAAATGTTCTTCTTTGTGATCCGAACACCTCAAACTTCGATTCGTCTATCCATAACACTTTTTTCCAATCTTCCTCTGTCCAGTGTCTGTGTTCTTTTGCCCATCTTAATATTATATTTTTATTGCCCAGTCTTAGATATGGCTTTTTCTTTGCAACTCTGCCTAGAAGGTCAGCATCCCGGAGTCGCCTCTTCACTGTTAATGTTAAGACTGGTGTTTTGCGGGTACCATTTAATGAAGCTGCCAGTTGAGGACCTGTAATGTATTTGTCCTCTTGCTCAGTTGTGCACCGGGGCCTCCCACTCCTCTTTCTATTCTGGTTAGAGCCAGTTTGCGCTGTTCTGTGAAGGGAGTAGTACACAGCGTTGTACGAGATCTTCAGTTTCTTGGCAATTTCTCGCATGGAATAGCCTTCATTTCTCAGAACAAGAATAGACTGACGAGTTTCAGAAGAAAGTTATTTGTTTCTGGCCATTTTGAGCCTGTAATCGAACCCACAATTGCTGATGCTCCAGATACTCAACTAGTCTCAAGAAGGCCAGTTTTATTGCTTCTTTAATCATCACAACCGTTTTCAGCTGTGCTAACATAATTGCAGAAGGGTTTTCTAATGATCAATTAGCCTTTTAAAATTATAAACTTGGATTAGCAAACACAACGTGCCATTGGAACACAGGACTGATGGTTGCTGATAATGGGCCTCTACGCCTATGTAGATATTCCATAAAAAATCAGCCGTTTCCAGATACAATAGCCATTTACAACATTAACAATCTCTTCACTGTATTTCTGATCGATTTGATGTTATTTTAATGGACAAAAAAATTGCTTTTCTTTCTAAAACAAGGAAATGTCTAAGTGACCCCAAACTTTTGAACGGTAGTGTACTTGAAACCAAAGTTTCGACTTATGTCATAATAAACATATAATCTCTTTCTTTTGCTTTAGATATATTGATAGATTTATAATGTTTATATAAGCCATCCAGTTGCCATGGTTATTAATACATAAGCTACATGAACATGCATCCTCAAGTGCTGTTTAAAAACTATTTTTAAATTACAGTAACTGGGAATGTTGACTTTCTATCCTTTTTTTTCAGGATACGAGGGAGGGCCTTAGTATGTAAGGCAAATAATATTCATATTTCATCATATAGTTATAGATATTGTTACGTATAGTATTGTGGTGTCCATCCGACCACACAATTCTCAACATAACAGACCCTAATGGAATAAGTGCAATAATGACTGACGCTGCATTCCTAATGGCACCCTATTCCCTATATAGTGCACTACTTTTGACCAGGGCCCATAGTGTCCTATATAGGGGAAAGGGTGCCATTTGAGACGCATCCTAAGAATACCATCTCAAGAGAGTTTAGACCGAGGTGGGCCCCAATGGTCTATTTTGTCGGTGGTCTGGCCTCTGCTTGCCATGTTCTTAGCCATAGCGTTTTAAAAACCACTTTAAAACTGGCACTAGTGCACAGACTGAGGAGTTCAGCATTGTTTGATTTACACGTTTGATTTGAACCATCTATGTACAATCTAAAACGACTCATATTAACCATAAGCCTCATATCTCACTGACACAAAGTAGAGGTTAAACAAACCAAAGTAAAAAAACAAAATAAAAAACAGAAATAAACAAAGTGACACCTGACCTTTTTTTTCTTTTTAACACTTTGCTATACATTAATAAAGCACTCTCGTGATTACACAAACCAGAGAAGTAAAGTAAAGATTGTGTTTGCGCAAAAAAAACATCCAATGTGAAATCCGTTACGACTAGATCAGCTCTCTTGTTGTGTTGTGACATCCCCAGGACTCTACATAACGTTCCCTGGCTGCCTTAGTTGTGCCGTTGAGGGCTGGAGATACAGGGCTAACGTTGCGGTGTATTGGTAACTAGCATCAATCGCTAGCACCGGTAGCTACTGGTTAGCGTCAGTAGCTAGCATCAGTGGCTACTAGCTACCGTCGGTATCTAGCTAGCAGCTAGCATCAGTTGGCTAGTGTCAGTTGTAGGTAGCTAGTGTCAGTTGCTAGCATCAGTAGCTAGCTAGTTAGCGTGTGACGCTCAGTTGTTCGGGACCTGAGGTTGGTTGGCTTTGAGGCTGCGCAGGGCCCGGCGCGCGGCGGCAGACTTGGCAATCCGATAGCTGCGGCCCACGCCTTTGAACTTGCCCTTGCCCACGACCTCCACCGTCACACGGACCTTCCCGTCGTACGTCCTCTCTGCAGGGCTGAAGAGGAGGGCAAATAATGACATAAAGGACACTTGAGGGACAATGGCATTCTAGCAACACAACCATCTTGGTCAGGAAAGCTTTTATTCTAGACACTGATTAAATATGGTAAAATATTGTATAAAACAATGCATATGTGAATTTTAGGATCTATATGGGGTAGAGGGTGAGGGGATAGAAAAGAAGGGGAAAGATTACATTAATTGCAATCAAGTAAGTAAGCTAAAACTAAAACAAAACAAAATAATTCTTACCTGAACTTGGCCGTCTCTGGCTCCATCTCCAACAGCTCCCGCACCGGAGAGCGAGGGACATTAGCCGAGAATTTCTCTGCGAGAGAAAATAAAAACGTTATAACATGAACCTTCATCTTTTTAACTCCTCAATATGATGTATCACTGGGACAGACAAATATGAGAACATTTACATTTTGCAAATCAGTGGAACAATCAGAAAACCGAAAATCTAAATGTGGACGAAGTTTCCCTCTCTCCGTTTCTCTCCTCCTTACCTATAAGTGGCCTCATCATTGGATAATACACTTGCCACACAGTCTCCAGTGACATCCTGCTATCCATGTAAATTGCTCCGGCTAGCGACTCAAAGATGTCTCCCATTGCTTTGGGGACCTCAATGTCCTCCTCTTTCGCCTCGTCTTCCTCTGACCGCCGCAGCTGAAAGAAAGGGGGAATAACAGAGATGAAGTACAAGTTGTTTTGTTAGGGTGAAAAAAAGAAAGATTTTCTCTCGAGTGGATTAAAGTAAAAATTGATTGTCTGTGCTGTAGTATGGCATCTTTCTAATAACGCTGACTGAGCATTGTCACCAATTTCATTTAATATCCATCTAGTAACAAATGCGCTTAGAAAAAAGTCAACGTTAGCTATAGTGTGAATTTAGTATTTTCCTTTGAAAATGTAATATCTGAGGAGAAAAATATCTATTACACACCTCATTTTACGTATAGGCCTACATCGACAGAAAATTGCAAATGTATAATCGGCAAGCTTCAATGGTTTAATACAAGTATTGAACTGTATTCAAGTTATTACTGTATTAAGTTTAATACCAAAAACTCAGCTGTACCCTTGCACACTCTGGAGACCCAGAGACCCCGTTGTCCAGTTGTGCTATTAAGGGGAAATATTTACCGATTTTCCTGAATTTGTTTTTCCTCTTACTGTATCCAATGTTGTCCCTTAGGCATAAAACCAGCACTGCTCAAACGAGACCAGATTCACTGCCAAGATAGGCATTTCAAAATAAATTAAATCCAACTGCTCTCACTCCAATCCAACTCTCTTTCCAATACTCAAAACTCAACAAAATATAAAACAGATTCATAAGAACTGACAGCCCATGTTTTGGGCTGTTAATAATTAGCAATAGGGGCAGAAAAAACATGATTATGTCCCACAAAACATATTTAAATGTTAGTAATTATCAACAAGGCCAAAAGCTATCATTATGTCCCTGAAAATTTATTGGTTGACATATACACTGAGGTATGCTGGGAAAATTGGGAATGGGCGGACACTTCGAACAGTAGAACAAGAGAAATACAACAGATGTACACTACCGGTCAAAGTTTTAGAACACCTACTCATTCAAGGGTTTTTCTTTATTTTTTACTATTTTCTACATTGTAGAATAATAGTGAAGACATCAAAACTATGAAATAACACATATGGAATCATGTAGTAACCAAAAAAGTGTTAAACAAATCAAAATATATCTTAAATTTGAGATTCTTCAAATAGCCACCATTTGACTTGATGACAGCTTTGCACACTTTTGAAATGATCTCAACCAGCTTCATGAGGTAGTCACCTGGAATGCATTTCAATTAATAGGTGTGCCTTCTTAAAAGTTAATTTGAGGAATTTCTTTCCTTTTTAATGCATTTGAGCCAATCAGTTGTGTTGTGATAAGGTATACAGAAGACAGCCCTATTTGGTAAAAGACCAAGTCCATATTATGGCAAGAACAGCTCAAATAAGCAAAGAGAACAAACAGTCCATCCTTACTTTAAGACATGAAGGTCAGTCAATACGGAACATTTCAAGAACTTTGAAAGTTTCTTCAAGCGCAGTCGCAGAAACCATCAAGCGCTATGATGAAACTGGCTCTCATCAGGACCGCCACAGGAATGGAAGACCCAGAGTTACCTCTGCTGCAGAGGATAAGTTCATTAGAGTTACCAGCCTCAGAAATTGCAGCCCAATAAATGCTTCATAGAGTTCAAGTAACAGACATATCTCAACATCAACTGTTCAGAGGAGACTGTGTGAATCAGGCCTTCATGGTCGAATTGCTGCAAAGAAACCACTACTAAAGGACACCAATAAGAAGAAGAGACTTGCTTGGGCCAAGAAACACGAGCAATGGACATTAGACCAGTGGAAATGTGTTCTTTGGTCTGGAGTCCAAATTTGAGATTTTTAGTTCCAACTGCCGTGTCTTTGTGAGACGCGGTGTGGGTGAACGGATGATCTCCGCATGTATATTTCCCACCATAAAGCATGGAGGAGGAGGTGTTATGGTGTGGGGGTGCTTTGCTGGTGACACGGTCTGTGATTTATTTAGAATTCAAGGCACACTTAACCAGCATGGCTACCACAGCATTCTACAGCGATACGCCATCCCATCTGGTTTGGGCTTAGTGGGACTATCATTTGGTTTTCAATAGGACAATGACCCAACAAACCTCCAGGCTGTGTAAGTGTTACATCAGATGACCTGGCCTCCACAATCCCCTGACCTCAACCAAATTGAGATGGTTTGAGATGAGTCGGACCGCAGAGTGAAGGAAAAGCAGCCAACAAGTGCTTAGCATATGTGGGAACTCCTTCAAGACTGTTGGAAAAGCATTCCAGGTGAAGCTGGTTGAGAGAATGCCAAGAGTGTGCAAAGCTGTCATCAAGGCAAAGGGTGGCTATTTGAAGAATCTCAAATATAACATATATTTTGATTTGTTTAACACTTTTTTGGTTACTACATGATTCCATATGTGTTATTTCATACTTTTGATGTCTTCACTATTATTCTACAATGTAGAAAAGAGTCACAAAAAAACATTTTTTTTGGAATAAGTAGGTGTTCTAAAACTTTTGACCGGTAGTGTACATCCCACTACGACAAACAAACACACGCAACTTTTGTTCCACATCCAGAAAGCACCAATAACTACACCACAACAAACAACTTCTTCACCAAGGCTGCATCCCAAATGGCACCCTATTCCCTATATAGTGCACCACTTTTGACCAGAGCCCTATGGGCTCTATATAGGGAATAGAGTGCCATTTGAGATGCAATCCAACTTCAAAATCCCGGAGATGGACAACCTAACCGTAAACCCACCTCAGAGTCCATGCCTTGCATCTCGTTCTTCTCCAGCTGGAATTGCACAAAGTCGTCAATGACGTGAAACAGCTCGGGCGACACAGCCTTGAAGTACTTGTGGTAGTCGTACTGGACGGCCAGGGAGGCGAAGATAGTGTTGTTGACGAGTGCCGAGCGCAGGTCTGTTAGCACGCCGGGAGAGTGTTGGCGCGGGTCTTCATAAAGGTGCTTCGTTATGAGGTAGTCTAAAATTGCATCGCCAAGAAACTCCAGCCGCTGGTAACAATCTGGGACAGAGAGAGAGCGGGGAGAGAAAGAGCGGGAGGGAGTGATGAGAGGAAGTGTCAATCATACTAAGTCGACACAAAATAAGCTTATTACTGAGGCACCAGCAGGCATACTAAAGCGAAGCTGTAATCAACTACTTCAAGTTTTTCTGCGTGCCTCTTTAAAGTGGTTCAGCTAATGGTATTGTTGTTTTAATATTACAGCCCCTTAGGTATGATCGTATTGCAACTGAATTGGGTTGCTGTGCTACTACAGGCCCTCACCTTGTTATTATTAGGTCTCACCTAAAATGGTGATATTTCTAACCTGTAATGGTATTATAATGGTAGGAGGCGTGTGTGAAGGCCTGCAGCAGGTAGGCCTTGTTCTGGAAGGTGTAGCTGATCTTCTTCTCAAAGTTCTCGAAGCCGGAGATGAGGTGGTTGAGGGTGCGTTCGGCGTCCGGGTGGTCGAACATGCAGCGGGGCGGGATCTTCAGCCAGCCATACTGGAGGTCAAGGTTCGCTACCTCTGTGACTCCACCCTCCTCCCTCAGACTCCGACTCCGACTCTCCACCGGTAACACCTGTTTGATACATTGATATAGAAAGATTTTATTATTGAACTAGAAAGGGTAATTTTCCTGAAGAAAAATGGTGTGCTTGCTTGAGCTGTCCAAAAGTATTTGTATTGTAGTGGAAGAACTTCCTCTCCACCGGTAAAACCTGTTTTGATATATTGACATTTTTATTGAAATACAAAGTCACAATCATGTGGTGTTGGAACATAATATAACACCACCACCTTGGACATAACATAAGACACCATTGAAAAAAATTATCACGGTTTTCGATTTAGAGATTTTTTTAATCATTAAACGCATTATGAAATAATTACATTACAATGATTTCGTAGCTTTTTAATGGAAATTCCAAAGCCAAAAACTGTGAACATTCAATTGCCAAAACATTACAAATATTATATTGTCTCTGTCAGGTCCACATTGGCTATGAAATAACAAAATATATACAGTGACTTCGGACAGTATTCAGACCCCTTGTCTTTTTCCACATTTTGTTAAATTACAGCCTTATTCTAAAATGGATTAAATATTTATTTTTTCTTCAGCAATCTACACACAATACCCCATAATGACAAAGCGAAAACAGGTTTTAATAAATGTTTGAATATTTATTAAAAATAAAAAACAGAAATACCTTACTTACATAAGTATTCAGGCACTTTGCTATGAGACTCGAAATTCACCTCAGGTGCATCCTGTTTCCATTGATCATTCTTGAGATGTTTCTACAACTTGATTGGAGTCCACCTGTGGTAAATTCAATTGATTGGACATGATTTGGAAAGGCACACACCTATCTATATAAGTTCCCACAGTTGACTGTGCATGTCAGAGCAAAAACCAAGCCATGAGGTCGAAGGAATTGTCCGTTGAGCTCTGAGACAGGATTGTGTCGAGGCACAGATCTGGGGAAGGGTACCAAAACATTTCTGCAGCATTGAAGGTCCCCAAGAACACAGTGGCCTCAATCATTCTTAAATGGAAGACGTTTGGAACCACCAAGACTCTTCCTAGAGCTGGCACCATCCCTATGGTGAAGCATGTTGGCGGCAGCATCATGCTGTGGGGATGTTTTTCAGCGGCAGGGACTGGGAGACTAGTCAGGATCGAGGCAAAGATGAACGGAGCAAAGTACAGAGAGATCCTTGATGAAAACCTGCTCCAGAGCACTCAGGACCTCAGACTGGGGCGAAGGTTTTCCTTCCAACAGGACAACGACCTTAAACACAGCCAATACAACGCAGGAGTGGCTTCGGGACAAGTCTCAATGTCCTTGAGTGGCCCAGCCAGAGCCCGGACTTGAACCCGATCGAACATCTCTGGAGAGACCTGAAAATCCAACCTGACAGAGCTTGAGAGGATCTGCAGAGAAGAATGGGAGAAACTCCCCAAATACAGGTGTGCCAAGCTTGTAGCGTCATACCCAAGTAGACTAGATTCTGTAATCGCTGCCAAAGGTGCTTCAACAAAGTACTGAGTAAAAGGTCTGAATACTTATGTAAATGTAATATTTCAGTTTTTTATGTCTAAAAACCTGTTTTTGCTTTGTCATTATGGGGTATTATGTGTAGATTGATGTGGAGAAAAAATTTTTTTAATACATTTTAGAATAAGGGTCTAAATACTTTCCGAAGGTATCTTTCTTTGACCTACATACACACACAAAAGTACACTACATATACAAAAGTATGTGGACACCCCTTTAAATTAGTGGATTCGGCTATTTCTGCCACACCCGTTGCTGACAGGTGTATAACATTGAGCACACAGCCATGCAATCTCCATACGAGAACATTGGCAGTAGAATGGCCTTACTGAAGTCAGTTCTTCAAATTTCTGCCCTGCTAGAGCTGCCCCGGTCAACTGTAAGTGCTGTTGTTGTGAAGTGGAAATGTCTAGGAGCAACAACGGCTCAGCCGCGAAGTGGTAGGCCACACAAGCTCACTGAACGGGACCGCTGAAGCGCGTAGCCCATAAAAATCGTCAGTCGTCGGTTGCAACACTCACTACCGAGTTCCAAACTGCCTCTGGAAGGAACGTCAGCACATTAACTGTTCGTCAGGAGCTTCATGAAATGGGTTTCCATGGCCGAGCAGCCGTACACAAGCCTAAGATCACCATGCGCAATGCCAAGCGTCGGCTGGAGTGGTGTAAAGCTCGCCGCCATTGGACTCTGGAGCAGTAGAAACACGTTCTCTGGAGTGATGAATCACACTTCACTATCTGGCAGTCCGACGGATGAATCTGGGTTTGGTGGATACCAGGAGAATGCTACCTGCCCAAATGCATAGTGCCAACTGTAAAGTTTGGTGGAGGAGTAATGGTCTGGGGCTGTTTTTCATGGTTCAGGCTCCTTAGTTCCAGTGAAGGGAAATCTTGACGCTACAGCTTACAATTATATTCTAGACGATTCTGTGTTTCCAACTTTGTAGCAACAGTTTGGGGAAGACCCTTTCCTGTTTCAGCATGACAATGCCAACGTGCACAAAGCGAGGTCCATACAGAAATGGTTTGTCGAGATCGTGGTGGAAGAACTTGACTGGCCTGCACAGAGCCCTGACCTCAACCCCATCGAACACCTTTGGGATGAATTGGAACGCTGACTGCGAGCCAGGCCTAATCGTCCAACATCAGTGCCCGACCTCACTAATGCTCTTGTGGCTGAATGGAAGCAAGTCCCTGCAGCAATGTTCCAACATCTAGTGGAAAGCCTTCCCAGAAAAGTGGAAGCTGTTATAGCAGCAAAGGGGGGACCAACTCCATATTAATGCCCATGATTTTGGAATGAGATGTTCGACGAGGAGGTGTCCACATTCTTTTGGTAATGTAGTGTGTGTATGTACGTATGTATGTATGTATGTATGTATGTATGTATGTATGTATGTATGTATGTATGTGGCTATATGAGAAGTGTACAATGTGTATGACAGGGATAACGTGGAATGTATGTATTATGTAGAGTGTGTAATGTACAGTGTCTATTTTGTATACAGCAGTTTTTCTTCTTTTTTTTCACCTTTATTTAACCAGGTAAGCGAGTTGAGAACAAGTTCTCATTTACAACTGCGACCTGGCCAAGATAAAACAAAGCAGTGCGATAAAAACACCACAGAGTTACATATGGGTAAAACAAAACATAAAGTCAAAAATACAACAGAAAAATAGAAAATATATATACAGTGTGTGCAAATGTAGCAAGTTATGGAGGTAAGGCAATAAATAGGCCATAGTGCAAAATAATTACAATTAGTATTAACACTGGAATGATAGATGTGCAGGAGATGATGTGCAAATAGAGATACTGGGGTGCAAATGAGCAAAATAAATAACAATATGGGAATGAGGTAGTTGGGTGGGCTAATTTCAGATGGGCTGTGTACAGGTGCAGTGATCGGTAAGGTGCTCTGACAACTGATGCTTAAAGTTAGTGAGGGAGATAAGAGTCTCCAGCTTCAGATTTTTGCAGTTCGTTCCAGTCATTGGCAGCAGAGAACTGGAAGGAATGGCGGCCAAAGGAGGTGTTGGCTTTGGGGATGACCAGTGAGATATACCTGCTGGAGCGCATACTACGGGTGGGTGTTGCTATGGTGACCAATGAGCTAAGATAAGGCGGGGATTTGCCTAGCAGTGATTTATAGATGGCCTGGAGCCAGTGGGTTTGGCGACGAATATGTAGTGAGGACCAGCCAACAAGAGCGTACAGGTCACAGTGGTGGGTAGTATATGGGGCTTTGGTGACAAAACGGATGGCACTGTGATAGACTACATCCAATTTGCTGAGTAGAGTGTTGGAGGCTATTTTGTAAATGACATCGCCGAAGTCAAGGATCGGTAGGATAGTCCGTTTTAAGAGGGCATGTTTGGCAGCATGAGTGAAGGAGGCTTTGTTGCGAAATAGGAAGCCGATTCTGGATTTAACTTTGGATTGGAGATGCTTAATGTGAGTCTGGAAGGAGAGTTTACAGTCTAACCAGACACCTACGTATTTGTAGTTGTCCACATACTCTAGGTCAGACCCGTCGAGAGTAGTGATTCTAGTCGGGTGGGCGGGTGCCAGCAGCGTTCGATTGAAGAGCATGCATTTACTTTTACTTGTGTTTAAGAGCAGTTGGAGGCTACGGAAGGAGTGTTGTATGGCATTGAAGCTCGTTTGGAGGTTTGTTAACACAGTGTCCAATGAAGGGCCAGATGTATACAAAATGGTGTTGTCTGCATAGAGGTGGATCTGAGAATCACCAGCAGCAAGAGCGCCATCATTGATATACACAGAGAAAAGAGTCGGCCCAAGAATTGAACCCTGTGGCACCCCCATAGAGACTGCCATAGGTCCAGACAACAGGCCCTCCGATTTGACACATTGAACTCTATCTGAGAAGTAGTTGGTGAACCAGGCGAGGCAGTCATTTGAGAAACCAAGGCTATTTAATCTGCCAATAAGAATGCGGTGGTTGACAGAGTCGAAAGCCTTGGCCAGGTCGATGAAGACGGCTACACAGTACTGTCTATTATCGATCACAGTTATAATATCGTTTAGGACCTTGAGCGTGGCTGAGGTGCACCCATGACCAGCTCGGAAACCGGATTGCATAGCGGAGAAGGTACGGTGTGATTCGAAATGGTCGGTGATCTGTTTGTTAACTTGGCTTTCAAAAACTTTAGAAAGGCAGGGCAGGATGGATATAGGTCTGTAACAGTTTGGACCTAGAGTGTCACCCCCTTTGAAGAGGGGGATAACCGCGGCAGCTTTCCAATCTCTGGGGATCTCAGACGTTACAAAAGAGAGGTTGAACAGGCTAGTAATAGGGGTTGCGACAATTTCGGCGGCTAATTTTAGAAAGAAAGGGTCCAGATTGTCTAGCCCAGATGATTTGTAGGGGTCCAGATTTTGCAGCTCTTTCAGAACATCAGCTGTCTGAAATTGTGTGAAGGAGAAGCGGGGGGGGGGCATGGGCAAGTTGCAGCGGAGGGTGAAGAGCTGGTGACTGGGGTAGTGGTAGCCAGGTGGAAAGCATGGCCAGCCGTAGCAAAATGCTTGTTGAAATTCTCGATTATTGTAGATTTATCAGTGGTGATAGTGTTTCCTAGCCTCAGTGCAGTGAGCAGTTGGGAGGAGGTGCTCTTATTCTCCATGGACTTTACAGTGTCCCAAAACTTTTTGGAGTTAGTGCTACAGGATGCACATTTCTGTTTGAAAAAGCTAGCCTTTGCTTTCCTAACTGCTTGTGTATATTGGTTCCTAACTTCCCTGAAAAGTTGCATATCGCGGGGGCTATTTGATGCTAATGCAGTACGCCACAGGATGTTTTTGTGCTGGTCAAAGGCAGTCAAGTCTGAGGAGATCTGTTCTTAGTTCTGAATTTTTTAAAACACAGTACTGTGTGTATAAGACAATTTTCTCTTTGGGGACATTAAAGTTAATTATAGATAGAGGTGGTGTATGTGAGGCCATACCTTGAGTCCCAGTGAGCAGAGGAACATCTGAGCAGCCCTCTCCCCACAGCTGGTGAGGTAGCAGCCCAGCAGTGCCTCCACACAGTCAGCGATGCTCTTGTCAGCGATGCACTGCTCCGTGTGCAGGTCGTAGGAGATGGACTGTTTCGCCAGCTCCACTCCACAGTTCTCCTCAGACGGGTTCCAGAAACCCACCACGAAATCATCCTCCTCCCCCGCCTTGCTGGGGTCCAAGTAACACATGGCGTCCCACGAGCTAATAATAATTCATCATCATTTATTGGATTTATATAGCACTTGTCCAGGGGGTTTACTTGTACATCAAAGCTGCCTCACGCTACAGAAACAGGAAATCGGCTCCTGCCCTATGGGCCGTTCTGGCTCGGACAAGGCTTACTTACTTAATAATAATTGATTGTATTTATATAGCGTTTTTCCACCTAGGTGCTCAGGTTCCACTTTACATAGTATGGGGGGGACTCACCTGTAGTCAAACTCATCTGCTGAGCCACCACCGCTAGGCTCCGAGGGGTAGTGGGGGGTGGGGACCGGGACAGGTTTCTTGGGGGGTTTCCACTCCCCGTAGCTGGGCTCGGCTGCAGGGGAGGAGGAGCGGGCGGAGGGGCTGGGGCCAGGGGCCGCGGTGGTGAGGGCAGGGGGGAAGGTCCTGAGGGAGATCTTTTTGCCGAAGGCACCGGTGCCCATGAGCATGTTGTCGATGAACTTGATGTGCTCCTAGTAGTAGGGATGAGTTAGAGTAATGAATCAATTCGTTGATGGAGGGCATCCGTATCGATAAAAAAACTAAAAAACGTGATGTTTTCCATAGCTGGACAGACAAATTAGTTTAAATAAACTAGATTGTGTTTTGATTCAGCTTTTTCCCCCTGTAATAGATAAGTAGGCATGTGTCTAGTATGCATGCATACCTCTTATTATATTTGGCCGAGAGAACTTAGATTTATTAGTTTAAAAAAACTAACTTCGATTAATCACCCCTGACAACCATCAACTAGCCTAATCAATCCTGGAAAACTTGGGTACGCCCCAAATGGCACCCTATTCCCTATAGTAGTGCACTTCTTTTGACCAGAGCCCTATAGGCCCAGGTCAAAAGTAGTGCACTACTATAGGGAATAGGGTGCCATTTGGGACAGACCCCTTGTGCTGAACTCCTCCCTACCTGGTAGTACTCCAGGTCATCCTCGATGTTGACTTCTTCTTTAGGCTCCTTCCACATCAGATCTTCATCCTCCTCCAGCACCTCCTCCTCTAGCTCCTCCTCATCCTCACAGAACTCCTCTCCAGCACTACCGTTGTCTAGGGGGTCCTCTTTGGCCTGAAAGAGGGAGTGAGGAAGGAAGGAGGGAGAGAGGAGGGAAAGACAAGGGAGTAAGTGCGAGGATGGCGACAGAGAAACAACAAAAGGAAGAGGGTAGAAGGAGAGAGAGAATGGGAGACAGAAAAAGTGGATGGATTACTATGTGGATTGTATTAATGTCTCATTACCCAACGTCTCTTTAATCCAGCAGTGCCTCCAGGCCTGTAGTTGACTCCTGGAGCCGTGGTCAAGACCCACAGTGGGATTTACACAGATTATAGTCTCAGAGTTTCACTCTCACTGCAGCATTAGGTCAACTAAGAGGGCTTTGGATGTGAGAGGGGAGCCAGGCCTATCCAACTCAATGACTCGTAGGCCTAATGCAATTCAATATCTGACAAGCGGCATCCTGAATATTACATTTATAATCGTTAAAAGTTGACCATGTGGGAAATTCTCTGATGCATATTCATTAAATGCTAATGGCCCTGACATCTAATATTGTCAGAATCCAGCCAGGCCCTGACGCTGAAAATTACATCGCCCCGAGTGCATTATGCACACATGGTTCACCACACACTGTGTTACACACACACTCTCCACTTTCTCTCTTGCACACACGCACACACACACACGACAAACACACACACTTGACAAACACACTTGCCAGCTTAACAAAATTCAACACCATTCAACACATCTACCTCAGATACACACCTCCCTAACAGGCCAGGCAGAGTCTCCAGCTATACCCACGTTTCCCTAACAACCCCATATCACCCTGTACTGTTTACTACCCTGCTGTTCTCATACTAACTCGTGCTACATTTAAGGTATTTCATGCATTTTTTTATTTTATATTTGGCATTTATTTGGATAATGTATAAGAATGTCTACATGTTCACTAAGAGAGAGAAAGCTACCATAACAAGAGATATTTCATGTACTGTTTATAAAGCATACCCACATGCACTTATTGACAATCTCCTTCAGTATCCCCGTGTAGCTCAGTTGGTAGAGCATGGCGTTTGCAACGCCAGGGTTGTGGGTTCGATTCCCACGGGGGGCCAGTATGAAAAATGTATGCACTCACTAACTTTAAGTCGCTCTGGATAAGAGCGTCTGCTAAATGACGAAAATGTAAATGTATCATATGGAGAAGACGCTACCAGTTGAATTATACCAGTAAGGTGAAAGCCTGCCCTCTGGTGGTCTAGTCATGAATTACAGAGCATCACGTACCTCATCCTCGTCCCATTTGTCTTCGCTGCTCTCGTCCTGGTTGACCACGTAGCCAGGGGGCAGCCAGTTGACCGGCGGATCAAAGATGGACACTACCATCCTGCTAGGAAGACCTTTCTTCTTCCCCAGACGATACAAGTTACAGTTGCTCACCTGTTAGACAGAAAATAATTATATTCACACCATTTCACACATGGATCATATCCATACTTTCTAAAAATACATGAAACATGAGCAAATTATGGGCCTATCTATCAATAACAAATAGGCAAACACAGAGCATTCCATTGACAAACATTAAATTCAGACATTCAACCTAAACTCTGTGTATATGTCCCAAATGGCACCCTATTCCCTATATAGTGCACTACCCTATGTGGGCCCTGGTCAAAAGTAGGGCACTGTAAAGGGAATAGGGTGTCATTTGGGACGCATCCGCCATCCTCCCCCCCGCCAGACTCACCTTCTTGCTCCTCATGTAGGAGAGTCGTCCCTCGTGTGCGTCAGGGTAAGTACAGAACAGGTAGGTGGTGATGGCGTGCTTCAAGAACGAGTCTCCCAGCATCTCCAGACGCTCCAGGTTGAAGCCATCGCTAGCGTTGGATAGGGTCAGGGCCTGCAGAAATGTAAAAAACAAGATTGAATTGAAACTTATATCCAAGTGAGTGCTGGCCTTTTTCATTTTTGAAGTAATACATATTTTTGTTCAGGGCCTGAAGGTAGGGATCAGTTACATTAATTGGTTAGTCTATTCAGAGCATCCGAATTGATAAAAAAATGTGGGAATCGAACATCGAAAACAACACATTTAACTGATATTCTGAATTGCTGGACACAGATTTGAGTTTAAATAAACAAGATTCTGTTTTGATTCAGAATATGTGTGGCCTTTCTCCCCCACAATAGACATGTAAGCATGCGTCTAGTATGCAGTAAGCACGCGCACTCATATTTATTAGTTAAAACAATCAAAACTTCAATTAGGTCAATTAATCAATTAATCGACCAAAGAAAACAATCAACTGACTCTGAAAAACTTGTGTTGAACCCATCCCTACCTGAAGGATAAGCCCCGGGTTGGGCCCCAGGGTCTTGGGGCAGGGGCCAGGGGTGTCCCCCCCTGTGGAGCTGGTCTCCTGGGTCTTTGAGTAGTCAGGTAAAGGTGCTGTGGTTGTGATGGGAGCAGTGCCCTTGGGCCACATCACTGTTGCTGGGCTGCAGGAGTCTGAGGTAGCTTGATTCATGTGGTGTCCATCGCCCTCACGGAGCTCTGTGGTCCCCCCTGGTTTACATTCATCGCTAGCCTGGTGGGGTCGAGGCTGGGTCCGGGGCTGAAGCTGAGACTGGGTCTTGGGTGGTGTTGGGGTTAGATTCTGGTTCTCTGTGCTTGGAGAGGGCTGCACAGGAAGAACTGAGGTAGTGGTTTGTGTTGTCATTGTTGTTGATACTTCTTCTTCGCTCTCCAGTGGCGAACCAGGGCCACCCGGGAGGAACTGGCAGTTATCCCGTCCGTCGTGAAGGTTAGCATGGTCGCCGTAGTCACCGTTGTCTTTGGCGACGGCAGCAGTGCCGTTAGTGAGGGTATTGGTGCAGGAGGCAGAGTCTGGCTGCTGGGGCTCCTCCTCCTCTGGCCTGTCATCTTCTGGGTGTTTGCTGACGTCGCCCCTCTCAGGCCGGGAGGAGACATGACAGTCACTACAGGGTTGTTGAGCAACAGCAGGGTCAGGGGCTACAGTCTGGCCTTGTTGTTTACAGTTCTCATCACCACTGTCCTCTTCCTCCTCCTCCTCATCCTCTTCCTCATCACACGGACAGATGAAAGACTTGCTGTCGATGGACTTCTTCCATCCAAAGTCCAAGTTTGGATACCTATAAAGACAGAGTGAGATTTAGGGGCAGTAGTGTTGGAGAGTGGAGTGTTATCAAACAACCAGTCATGAAATGAATTATTAAAAGGGATAGTTCTTCAAAATGTCATCAAGTTCATCAAAACAAAATGTATCAGATGTACCTGAAGTCAGGGGGCAGGGTCTGGGCTCCTACTCCAGCGTCGCTGGCTGTCTGGGCCCTCAGCTCCTCAGCTGTGAGGAGGCAGTGGAGGCGGTACAGTATGCTGGGGAGACACACAGCCTTCCGCCACAGAGAGGCTGGGATGGGGTGAATGGCACACAGCTCTGGGACCAGGATCTGGAGGGGCAGTGAGGGGAGGAAAAAGAGAAAGAAAATGTGACATCCTTCCAAATGTTTGTAGGCTAGGGCCAGAAATACAGTCGATGCTGGGATGGGGTAGATGGCACACAGCTCTGAGACCAAGTTGTGGAGGGGAGGAAACATCCTTCCAGAAGTAGGAGAAGATGGTTCTCCAACATGCTCTAATCTAGATTATAGACCAGGGATCATCAACTAGATTTAGCCGCGGGCCAATTATTTATTGAGCGGATGGTCAGGGGGCCAGAACATAATTACAAATAAATGGTAGACTGCAAATGGACCACGAGAAGCCCAAACAGATATATTATTTGACAAAAAAACATAATAATTTGAATATATTATGCGTGGGAATGCTTTGGAACAGATTTCCAAAATGTTTATCACTTGCAGCTGATTTGCTGGTGTTTTACAGTCTTTTACGTCCCAAAAAAAACAAAAAACGTTATTTGCTCAGAAAACATGGGGGCCCATATAAAATCACACGCGAGCCAAATTCAGCCCACGGGCCGCCAGTTGGGGAATCCTATTTTAGACCATCTTCAGAGTTAGTCTTCAGCCATTGGTTCATCTCTAAATATGGTGGAAGGTGGATCTATGGCTATGTGTTTAGACTAGATTACCTGTTTGTTCTGTAGACTCTCCCACTTGGCCTTCCTCTTCTCTGCACTGCTGAGGGGCAGTGCCTTCCCCTTCTGGTTCAGGTGGCGAGGGGTTAACAGGTTCAGTCTGCAGGGAGAGGTCAGAAACTGGATGAGTTACACAGTAGTTCAGATACAGTAACCTTCATGGGTGTAAGGTACAGATAAAGGGTTCTCCCCATATCTTTATACATTTTGATGGTGATCATGCTCCCCCCACCACCCATGGAGGTCTGAGAGACAGAGGGCATCCTTATGATGATGGAGAGTTGAATAAGATGAATTTTCCTCTCTCTCCCTCCTTCCTCCCCATCTCCTTCCACCTCTCCTCTCTCTCACCGTGAGGAGGTGTGGTCGACATCCAATAGTGGCTGGTTTACATTGGACAGGTCCAGGTTGTACTTGGTTTTGTAGTACTCAGCAAAAGTCTCATACTCCGGCGACGGGAACTTGCTGAGCGGCGTGAGGTCTGTGTAAACGTCAGCCACGTAGAAACGGTGAGGCTGGTCAAAGTTACGATACCTGAGAGAGAAAGACAGGGATTAGAGGTCAAGGGTTGGCATAAATGGAACAGTGAAGATATACACTGAGTGAACAAAACATTAAGGACACCTTCCTAATATCCGGTTGGACGAGAAAAGCTTTTTGTGCGTATGGAACATTTCTGGGATCTTTTATTTCAGCTCATGAAACATGGGACCAACACCTTACATGTTGCATTTATATTTTTGTTCAGTTTATAATCTTATGGCTCATACCAAATTAATTGTATGCTGTTTAAATCAAAAGCATCCCAAATGGAAGTCTCTTCCCTATGGACCCTGGTCAAAAGAAGTGCACTATATACAGTGAGGGAAAAAAGTATTTGATCCCCTGCTGATTTTGTGCGTTTGCCCACTGACAAAGAAATGATCAGTCTATAATTTTAATGGTAGGTTAATTTGAACAGTGAGAGACAGAATAACAACAACAAAATCCAGAAAAACGCATGTCAAAAATGTTATAAATTGATTAGCATTTTAATGAGGGAAATAAGTATTTGACCCCTCTGCAAAACATGACTTAGTACTTGGTGGCAAAACCCTTGTTGGCAATCACAGAGGTCACACGTTTCTTGTAGTTGGCCATCAGGTTTGCACACATCTCAGGAGGGATTTTGTCCCACTCCTCTTTGCAGATCTTCTCCAAGTCATTAAGGTTTCGAGGCTGACGTTTGGCAACTCGAACCTTCAGCTCCCTCCACAGATTTTCTATGGGATTAAGGTCTGGAGACTGGCTAGGCCACTCCAGGACCTTAATGTGCTTCTTCTTGAGCCACTCCTTTGTTGCCTTGGCCGTGTGTTTTGGGTCATTGTCATGCTGGAATACCCATCCACTACCCATTTTCAATGCCCTGGCTGAGGGAAGGAGGTTCTCACCCAACATTTGACGGTACATGGCCCTTTGATGCGGTGAAGTTGTCCTGTCCCCTTAGCAGAAAAACACCCCCAAAGCATAATGTTTCCACCTCCATGTTTGACGGTGGGGATGGTGTTCTTGGGGTCATAGACAGCATTCCTCCTCCTCCAAATACGGCGAGTTGAGTTGATGCCAAAGAGCTCCATTTTGGTCTCATCTGACCACAACATTTTCACCCAGTTCTCCTCTGAATCATTCAGATGTTCATTGGCAAACTTATGACGGGCATGTATATGTGCTTTCTTGAGCAGGGGGACCTTGCGGGCGCTGCAGGATTTCAATCCTTCATGGCGTAGTGTGTTACCAATTGTTTTCTTGGTGACTATGGTCCCAGCTGCCTTGAGATCATTGACAAGATCCTCCCGCGTAGTTCTGGGATGATTCCTCACCGTTCTCATGATCATTGCAACTCTACGAGGTGAGATCTTGCATGGAGCCCCAGGCCGAGGGAGATTGACAGTTATTTTGTGTTTCTTCCATTTGCGAATAATCGTACCAACTGTTGTCACCTTCTCACCAAGCTGCTTGGCAATGGTCTTGTAGCCCATTCCAGCCTTGTGTAGGTCTACAATCTTGTCCCTGACATCCTTGGAGAGCTCTTTGGTCTTGGCCATGGTGGAGAGTTTGGAATCTGATTGATTGATTGCTTCTGTGGACAGGTGTCTTTTATACAGGTAACAAGTTGAGATTAGGAGCACTCCCTTTAAGAGTGTGCTCTTAATCTCAGCTCGTTACCTGTATAAAAGACACCTGGGAGCCAGAAATCTTTCTGATTGAGAGGGGGTCAAATACTTACTTCCCTCATTAAAATGCAAATCAATTTATAACATTTTTGACATGCGTTTTTCTGGATTTTTTTGTTGTTATTCTGTCTCTCACTGTTCAAATAAACCTAACATTAAAATGATAGACTGATCATTTCTTTGTCAGTGGGCAAACGTACAAAATCAGCAGGGGATCAAATACTTTTTTCCCTCACTGTATAGGGAGCTATTTAGAACTTCATCTAAAACTCAATTTGTTCCTCAGTCAGCAAGCAAGCAGCATACCGTGGAATGATGACAGCGTCTTGGTAGTCTTCCAGTTTGAAGGTGAAGGGGTTCTGCTTGGTGTACTGGGTGGTAGGAATGCCAATACGAGCCTCAGACTTCTCTATGTCCTCCATGAATTTAAAGTCCAAATCTAGAGTGTTGGAATCCTCAACTGGAAGAAGAAAAAACGTATACAATGGGAGCTTACATGGTGAATGAATACTTTCAGACATTGGAAACTCACTGATTTGACACTAGGGTTGGGTGGTATACAGTATATACCATATCCTGGGGTATTTCGAAATACCCTCGGTATGATTTTCCAATACCGCTTTTTTATGAATTGGAATATTTGTACTATTTAAATATATACCTGCAGTCAACTTGTGCACTAGGTAATAGATAAAGCAGATCGTGTTAATCATTTCGCCTGTTAAGATTATTTTTCATTTTGAAGCTTACCAGTAATAGTTTCCCAAAACAGCTGTTTGAGCCTGTCACATTCGTTTGTTCAAAAGAACAACGAGCAAAATGGGAGCTTTGTGAGGTGAATCACTCCTGCAGCGCAACTTAAGTGAGGTGATCAAGTTGCACTTCTATGAAATTCACTCCTAATGTTTGACAGCTATACATCTTATAATTATTAAGTTAACTATCTAAGTGATGTGCCAAATAAATTCTCTCCAGCTGGGTTTTGCTAACTTGCTAATGTTAGCAGCTATGAGGGGCCTGGTATTTTACCAAGTTGGACCTGAGGAGTGCCTACAACCTGATCCGAATCCGGGAAGGAGACGAGTGGAAGACGGCACTCAGCACTACCTCAGGCCACTATGAATACTGAGTCATGCCCTACGGCCTCGCCAACACCCCTTCTATGTTCCAGTTCTTCGTCAATTACAGTGGGGGGAAAAAAGTATTTAGTCAGCCACCAATTGTGCAAGTTCTCCCACTTAAAAAGATGAGAGAGGCCTGTAATTTTCATCATAGGTACACGTCAACTATGACAGACAAATTGAGGAAAAAAATCCAGAAAATCACATTTAGGATTTTTTATGAATTTATTTGCAAATTATGGTGGAAAATAAGTATTTGGTCACCTACAAACAAGCAAGATTTCTGGCTCTCACAGACCTGTAACTTCTTCTTTAAGAGGCTCCTCTGTCCTCCACTCGTTACCTGTATTAATGGCACCTGTTTGAACTTGTTATCAGTATAAAAGACACCTGTCCACAACCTCAAACAGTCACACTCCAAATTCCACTATGGCCAAGACCAAAGAGCTGTCAAAGGACACCAGAAACAAAATTGTAGACCTGCACCAGGCTGGGAAGACTGAATCTGCAATAGGTAAGCAGCTTGGTTTGAAGAAATCAACTGTGGGAGCAATTATTAGGAAATGGAAGACATACAAGACCACTGATAATCTCCCTCGATCTGGGGCTCCACGCAAGAACGGTGAGCAAAAATCCCAGAACCACACGGGGGGACCTAGTGAATGACCTGCAGAGAGCTGGGACCAAAGTAACAAAGCCTACCATCAGTAACACACTACGCCGCCAGGGACTCAAATCCTGCAGTGCCAGACGTGTCCCCCTGCTTAAGCCAGTACATGTCCAGGCCCGTCTGAAGTTTGCTAGAGTGCATTTGGATGATCCAGAAGAGGATTGGGAGAATGTCATATGGTCAGATGAAACCAAAATATAACTTTTTGGTAAAAAACTAAACTCGTCGTGTTTGGAGGACAAAGAATGCTGAGTTGCATCCAAAGAACACCATACCTACTGTGAAGCATGGGGGTGGAAACATCATGCTTTGGGGCTGTTTTTCTGCAAAGGGACCAGGACGACTGATCCGTGTAAAGGAAAGAATGAATGGGGCCATGTATCGTGAGATTTTGAGTGAAAACCTCCTTCCATCAGCAAGGGCATTGAAGATGAAACGTGGCTGGGTCTTTCAGCATGACAATGATCCCAAACACACCACCCGGGCAACGAAGGAGTGGCTTCGTAAGAAGCATTTCAAGGTCCTGGAGTGGCCTAGCCAGTCTCCAGATCTCAACCCCATAGAAAATCTTTGGAGGGAGTTGAAAGTCCGTGTTGCCCAGCGACAGCCCCAAAACATCACTGCTCTAGAGGAGATCTGCATGGAGGAATGGGCCAAAATACCAGCAAAAGTGTGTGAAGACTTATCAGAAAACGTTTGACCTGTGCCTCATTGCCAACAAAGGGTATATAACAAAGTATTGAGAAACTTTTGTTATTGACCAAATACTTATTTTCCACCATAATTTGCAAATAACTTCATTAAAAATCCTACAATGTGATTTTCTGGATTTTATTTCCTCATTTTGTCTGTCATAGTTGACGTGTACCTATGATGAAAATTACAGGCCTCTCTCATCTTTTTAAGTGGGAGAACTTGCACAATTGGTGGCTGACTAAATACTTTTTTTCCCCACTGTACGTGTTCCAGGACATGCTGAGTAGACAGGTGGTGGTGTACATCCACGATATCCTGATCTACTCGGCTAAGTTCGAGGAGCACGTCAGGGACGTCCGAGCTGTCCTACTCCGCTTCCGGGAACACAGCCTGTTGGTGAAGGGGGAGAAATGAGAATTCCACCAACAGGCCATCTCCTTCCTGGGATACCGGATGTCCTCAGGGGGTGTTCGCCGTCAGGTCATGGACAGTTCCCACCACCATCAAGGGCCTATAGAGCTTCCTGGGCTTCGCTAATTTCTACTGCCGCTTCATCAGGTCCTTCAGCTTCATAGCTGCCCCGCTCACCTCTCTCCTTAAGGGTGGGCCACGTCACGTCTCCTCCCGTTGCTCCCCTCCGGCACTCTGATTCGCCGGTATACTGAGCCACCGGTCTGAGCGCACCACCTCGGCAACACCGGAATGGAAACCCAACGCACCCTAATCACCTCCAGTGCACCTGCACCTCATCATCTCATCACCACTCCTATTTAGCCCTGGACTGTTCCTTATGATGTTGTGTGTGATTGTTTAGCTTCGTGTCGTGTACTCTATCTTTTTTTATTTCTCTTTGTCATTGTTTGAGTAAACCTTGACCTTGTTTATTCCTGCGTCTGCGTCTTGCCTCTTCGTATCCTCAGTACTCGTCACAGTGTTTTTATTTTTTTATTTATTCTTATTATTTTTTAGGGGGTACATCAGCTTTAATATTGCAGATAGATTGTAACTTCCATCAATGTCCTGCCTCTTCGTATACTTAGTACTCGTCACAATAATATGGACAAATAGGGCTATCGTCTGTATACCCCTACCTTGTCACAACACAACTGATTGGCTCAAACACATTAAGAAGGGAAGAAATTCCACAAATTAACTTTTAAGAAGGCACACCTGTTAATTGAAATGCATTCCAGGTGACTACCTCATGAAGCTGGTTGAGAGAATGGCAAGAGTGTGCAAAGCTGTCATCAAGGCAAAGGGTGGCTATTTGAAGAATCTCATATAAAATATATTTTGATTTGTTTAACACTTTTTTGGTTACTACATGATTCCATATGTGTTATTTCATAGTTGTGATGTCTTCACTATTATTCTACAATGTAAAAAATAGTAAAAATAAAGAAAAACCCTTGAATGAGTAGGTGTGTCCAAACTTTTGACTGGTAGTGTATACCGCCCAACCCTATTTGACACAGTGCACATCCCTATGGGCCCTGCTCAAAAGTAGTGCACTACAAAGGGAATAGAGTGCCATTTGGTACACACCCATAGGCTTACTAATGGAGTAAGGCCTACAGTATGTGCGCAACGTTGGGCTCTCACACCAACATTGAGAGGCAACATGTGTGTATCTAACAGTATAAGTCACCAACATTGAGCGGTAGTATACAGCAGACTAACTCACCAACATTGAGAGGTAGAACGCAGTAGGCTGAGTCGGCCTGCGTGGGTTTGAACTCCAGAGCAGGTTTCTCCAGGCGGAGGATGTGAGAGAAGATGTACTGGTGTAATCTGGTGATCAGGTCCAGCTGGACAGCACTCAGGGTGAACCCTGCCTTCTGGAGCTCGATGGAGATGGTCACCTCACCAGACCGTGTGTACACAGGAAAATGGGGGATCTGTGGAGAGGGATGAGGGGGTTAGGTGAGTTTCACTGTACACTTAATAAAGGGCATACTAACTTTGGAAAAGCAAGTGGCCCCTGCTGTCTAGCTGTTGCTTCCTAGAAAAATATGTTCTCGATCAGTTTCAATAGAAATTGTTAATGTTTGCATCCCTAAATATTGCTTTGAGGACCTGCCAGGAAACAAATCAATGGGAAACTGAGATAGGTGTGTTCCTTACCCGAGGTATAGGTTTGGCGGTCAGGATGCCGAAGCACCTGGTAGTGTCCTCTGGAGGGTAGAGCTTCCTGCGCCGGAAGTTGAGCTCATCAGGCAGAGGGGTGGTGAGGACCATGCCGACCACATACAGGTAGTAAGACTGCTCTGGTACAGGGTAACTGTCCCGAAGACACTCTGGTATCTGGGGGGAAAACAGCATTGGATTGGTGAAAACGAGTTTCCACCATAATTCTTACACTAGTGAATTACGTTTACATCCATGGGGGAGGGAGTGAATGAGTGAACACTTCTGGGAGAATAGAGAATCAGACAGTAACCAAGGAGGGAAGCAGCTTCACACCATTTAGATGAGGGGCACCATATCAGCAATGGAAAACAGCCCCAGTCAAAAGTAGTGCACTACAGTATACACTGAGTATACAAAACATTAAGGACACTTGATCTTTCCATGACATAGACTGACCAGGTGAATGCTATGATCCCTTATTGATGTCACCTGTTAAATCCACTTCAATCAGTGTAGATGAAGGGGAGGAGACAGGTTAAAGAAGGATTTTTAAGCCTTGAGACAACGGAGACATGTATTATGTATGTGTGTCATGAATGGGCAAGACAAAAGATTTAAGTGCCTTTGAACGATGTATGGTAGTGGGTGCCAGGCGCTACTGGGTTTTTCACGCTCAACATTTTCCCATGTGTATCAAGAATGGTCCACCACCCAAAGGACATCCAGCCAACTTGACACATCTGTGGGAAGCATTGGAGTCAACATGGGCCAGCATCCCTGTGGAACGCTTTTGACACCTTGTAGAGTCCTTGCCCCGACGAATTGAGGCTGTTCTGAGGGAAAAAGGGGGTACAACTCAATATTAGGAAGGTGTCCCTAATGTTTGGTATACTCAGTGTATAGAGAATAGGGTGCAATTTGGGATGCATCAGGAGTGATGACTACTCACAGCTTTAGGGTAGCACTGCCTCCTCTTGGTGGATCCTGGCCTGCCTGGAACACTGGTCTCCTCCTCGTCATGGAGATCCAGCTCCTCCTCATACTTGACTGTCTCCTTCCCCACAGGCATCAAGTGGTCATCTAACTCACCTGGGGGAGGGCGGGAGAGAGAGACATTTATTGGCACCATTTAGCTACTGTACATGCATGGCAAAATGAAGTTAAATATGTCACAGCAGTTAATACCAGGTCCCCCTCTTCTCCCACCAAGAAAGATGGGGAGGGAGAGATACAATCTGGGACTCCGGTCATGCTAAACATGGCATAATCTTTGGCATAATGACACAAGTAGTAGAATGTTTGCTAAACAGACTGGTACCCAGGCTAGCAGTGAGCACTACATGAAGAACATTCTACCAATCAAATAGCTCATTTTATTTACCTTTTTTGTGAAGCTTTTCACAACAAAGTAGTGCTACTGCTTTCTCTGCCAGCCTTGCACAGTTCATTGTCGGCCCCTGCAGTGACAAAACAAAGTGTACATTGGTCTCAAAGACATCCATTATACACACCGTTAGGTGAATCTTGACGTCTCGGATTGAAACAGTGTGTTTTACACAATGGTGGTGGATGAGGTGAATGTCCTGCTTACTACAGTATGTAGCCTACTACAGCCCTTTGAGCATCTGGAAGCACTGTATAATTATGTGTCCCAAAAGGCACCTTTTCCCCTATATAGTGCACTACATTTGACCAGAGCTGGAATATATAGGGAATAGGGTGCCATTTGGGATGCAGACCTATAAATCCAATCAATGACGAAAGCCTGCAGACTCACAGCAACGGGCACCCGTAGAGGGGAGTTGATGGGCAGGTAGAGGGTTGACTGGTAGCGCCCATCCTTCAGCTCCTTGGTCTTACACTTGGGTGCCAGGTGGGTAAACGGGTCACTGGGCAGACGGGCACAGTATCTGTGGCAGCCATGGGGGAGAGGGACATTAGCACAGCAGACCACCAAGAGAACAAGAACCAACAAAAATGTAATCTTCAAATCCAATTTAGCAACACTGCCAGATATTTACAGTATTTTGAGACTCCAACTTATTTTGTTCTCAGTGTATTTAGTCTTGTTTCCATCGAGCACCCTTTTAAAACCCCATTTCCTCTTACCTGTTGATGTGTCCGATGGCCGTGTTGATGGTGACGCGGGGCCCTCCGTCCTCAGAGCGGAGCACGTATGGAGGCAGGATGTTGTCATCATCCAGCACCTGTTCCACCTCAAACTCACCGACCCCCGCTGCCTTGGAACACTTATTCCTCAGAATCTGGAGACATCAAGAGAAGATCTACATTTGTCAGTATTAGGGTTGTCACAATACTAGTAGAGAAACAGAGAAAAAAAATTCATCAGTGTTCCCATTTTCCTTTTCTCAAAACGTACACGTCAAACTCCCCTTGACATCAAAACTTGATTTACGTGAAAAGTTCCACATGTAAATCGTCCAGTCAGGATTTGGCAATTAAGTAGCATTCACCAATGACCTCACATATCATCCAAGGATGGCCCTTGTGGCCAGGCTCTGAAAACCAGTGTTCTTCAAACAGACACACCAATCAATTGAACATAATTGAGTGGAGTATGGTGAAACCATAATCAGCAAACACAGGAAGATACTTAGGCTAAGTCCCAAATGGCACCCTATTCCCTATATAGATGCATACTTAGACAACAATCTCAGAGAATCACCGTGTTCCTCAGACAGACACACACAATGGGGCCTTGAGGACAGGCTCTGAAAACCACACCTTCTCTATGGCCTTGTAGGTCTTCAGGTCGTCCTCAAAGGTCTTGGTCCTCTCACTGTCAGCCAGCATGATGTAGTTGGATACAGGAGCTCTGGCTCGGCCTTTAGACTGAACGTAGGACCTGTAGTCGAGTCATAGACAACATTTATTTAAAGTGCACAACACACTTTACATGATTAAAAAAAACAGGAACAAAACAATGTAGAAAGGGGAGGGAAATAATATCAACAACAATACACAAATATAAAAAGCTAAAAAGAGAAGCCAATAGTCCATTGGGCAGGAAGCAACAAGGCAGTGGATGGATAAGCAGTGCTATACCTGTACTCAGTGGGCAGGTCGAACCGCACCACCAGGTTACACTTGGGAATATCCACTCCTTCCTCCACGATGCTGGTCGCTATGAGCAGGTTGGTCTCGTGGGCTCGGAATTTACGCAGAACCTGAGGGATGATGACGCAAGGTAGTTAGGTGTGGATGGATGGAAGTATAGGTGGATGAATGGATGGATGGATGGATGAAGGGATGGATGGATGAAGGGATGGACAGATGGACAGAGATACAAATGTCGGGGTAGGTCAATTTCGATGTATCTAGAGAGGATGAAGTCAGAAAATACAAAATGGCGTCAGTGTGTTCTTACCTCTTCCTGCTTCCTGAACTCTACCTCCATTTGTTTGTTGCGTGGCTGGTTCTTGCCGATGCTGTGGCCTGTGATGAAATTACTGCTGATGTAGGCCAGCTCTGGGTCCTGCTTCCCGGCCTCCTTTATCAGCCTGACACAAAGAGGGACAGTAATCATGGAAATGGTATTAAGACAACCTAAATCCTCCCAAAATAAGACATTATTATTATTTTCTTCCTATATGGTGACAAGTCCTTTTGAGCAGTGTACAATAAGGAATCTAAGGAGACAAGGTAGCAGAGGCATCACACATTTTAACGAAAATGGCATTGAATCCCAGAATTGTACCGGTTGAGGATGACGGCCGTGTAGCGCCTCTCCACGAAGATTATCCCACACAGGATGTTGGTGAATGGCGAGGGGAAGTTAGCCTCGGGCTTCTCCTTCACCTCCACCTCCTCATCCTCGTCTTCGTCCTCTGAGTCGCTCCACGATACGTAGTTGTCCTCGTTGCGATTGTTATACCACTCCACGCTCTCAAACTGCTGCCTCTCGAAGGGCTTGTACTCATGGAGGATCTCTAAGAGACGGATGACTTTGGGGGACACAAACTTCAGGTCCAGAGAAGCCGGGGAGAAGTGCTCCTCGCACAGAGCGTGGACCTAGGATACCAGAAATAAATAACTTAATTAGCCTATACCCAGAGGGGAAATTCACCTGCCTCTGTACACACACACACACACACACACACACACACACACAGTAGATTGCACAGGAACACAAAATACAACTGATTTATATAGTCCTTATTACAGCTACAGTTGTCACAAAGTGCTTTACGGAACTCAACTAAACACGAATTACAACATACACACAGGGGATAGTTAGTATACACATACCTTACATCAAACACAAAGGAATATATAGACAGCATACTGTACATACCTTCCTCAGGATGGTGTCAGTGAAGAGCAGGAACTTCCTGTTGACCTCTTCCTGTTCGTGTTTGATGTACTTCTGTAGCTCCCGCACCATGATGCCAGCCACCTTGTCGGCACACCACGGCCCCAGCACCAGCAGCACCGCCCGGCAGTCATTCAACACCTGGGGAAGAGCAGGGAGACATTTACTTATTTATTTAGCCTTTATTTAAACAGGTAAGTAATTGAGAACACATTCTCTTTAACAATGAAGACTTGACCAAGAAGGAGCATTAAACAGTGCAGCAAAGCAGACAAGTGACATTAAAGACAAAGCAGACAATTACAATCTCAGCTGTATAGGCTAGGCTGTAGGGCTCTGGTCAAAAGTAGTGCACTATATAGAGAATACGGTGCCATTTGGGATACAAGCTTGGATATGTAGATGGGGTCAGACCTGTTTGGTTATGAAGGTGGGGTCTCTATCCTCTCGAGGCACAGATATGTTGCAGTCGTTGAGGAAGTGGAGAGCCTCATCCAGCTCGCTCAGCAGACGCTCAGAGAGGCCGCTCTTGTCCAGGTAGGGTCCACAGTCCAGCACCACTTCTCTGGGCTGGGAGGCATATCTGAGACACACACACACACAAAGTTCAGTTTTCCGTTTTCGATCATAATGAATAAGATTGTGGACAGGGGGGACCTGATCCTAGATCAGCACTCCTCCTAGGAGTTGCTTAATGAATATGGGCCATGATGTGTATTATTACAATACCTGTCGAGGACAACAAGGTCAGTAGCGGTCTCTGCATTGCTCCTTAAGATCCGCTCCAGGTTCTGGATCTTCTGCTCCAGTTCAGACGGGTCACATTTACCATTCAGAATGGATGCTGTGAGGCCCAGGATGCGAGGGCTGCACAGAGAGCCCTCACATAGCTGAAACAAAGATAGAGAGCCTTCACATCAATGAAAACAGAGATACAGTAGAGACAGCCCTCACATAACTGAAACAGAGATAGACAGCCCTCACATAGCTGAAACAGAGAGACAGCCCTCACATAGCTGAAAGAGATAGAGAGCCTTCACATAAATGAAAACAGAGATACAGTAGACAGCCCTCACATAGCTGAAACAGAGATGGAGACAGCCCTCACAGAGCTGAAACAGAGACAGAGACAGGCTTCACATAACTGAAACAGAGATAGAGACAGCCCTCAAATAGCTGAAGCAGAGATTAGAGTATAAATAGCCCTCAAACAGATACAGGGACAGAAAGCCCTCACATAGCTGAAACAGATACAGGGACAGAAAGCCCTCACATAGCTGAAACAGATAGAGGAGGCAGACTGCTTCAGTCTTATTAAAACAAGGAAAATGCTAAAACATTGAACATCCTGCAATTGGGTTCAATAAGGACGGCTGACTGACAACATTTTAATATAATGACTAACTCCAATCTCCATAATACCTTGGCTCTCGCCATACAGGGAAGGAAGAGTATGTGCTTGGCTTTCAAGCGACAATTGAATGCATAACTACGTAGAGCAGACTGTAATTGTACCTTCATTATCTCCTGGTAGGGATGGTCTGTGATTGCCAGGTGACACTCATCAAACACCACCAGGTTGAGTTTCGATAGTGGCAACACTCCATTCTTCAGCACATGCAGGAAGACATGGCAAGTCATAACGAGCACCTAGAAGAACAGAAATGATGGAGAGAATGAGTGGAGGGGAGGTTGGAGGGATGGCATATTGCCTTGAATAATAGATTACAGTGTCATGACATTGATTGTATCCATCCACAGAATACTAACTTTCCCCTCCTCATGGAAATGACACTGGGAATTCAGTGTTATTTTTCTAAGTTGTTGAAATTGAGAGGGGAAAACTTTAGTAATGCTATTACCACTGGTTTTTATCATGAAAGTAATTGGTAACCATTGGTACTTTATTCTGGCAATTGAAATTATATGACAAAATTGGTAGAAATTTGTATTTTCCAGGTCTGTGTTCAATGAACCCCACCTGATTTTCGATCATTTCTTGGCTCCACTTTTCCCCAGACCATGAAGAGGTCTTCTCCGTGCTGGTGTATTCTCCAACCTGGAGATCAGAGTGGGTCCTAACACTAGCTGCTTGCTGAATCACAGACGATGCTTTATTTATCATTCAGGAAAAGAGGGGAAAACAGAGAAAACTCATGGTCTCAATCATACCATATTTGATGTACACTTATTAGAAGTTGATACTTCTAAAAGGCTGCATATCCTGACTCTTTACCCTTTTCCTGAAAGTGCGCACTTCCACACTCCCTCTAATGGATTTCACAATGCTTACAGACAATGCTTACACCAATCCAATGCTTTGAAATCCATGATGGGGAGTGCAAGTGCACACTTTGGGAGAAGTGTGAAGAATTCGGATGCACCAAATAGTGCATTTCTTTGTGACTCCAAATGTAGTTACCTGTATTCACCAGGAAAACTGTCCTCTTCCCATCTCCCCGGATTTGGTGGGAAAGCTCTTTAGTTAAGAGTACTGCAATAAAGGTCTTCCCTGAGCCAGTATTTAAACAGACGATAGTATTGTGTTCAAGAGCTGCTTCAAGAAGTTCAACCTGGTAGGGCAGAGAAGGTTACAGTCATTAGTTTCAACTGTTGCGCAAGCACACTCAACTGGTTACACTTTTTTTTTTTATACAGATAAAATATAGATAGATACCCATACACTGACGAATGTTCCCACAGTTTATTTTGCAACATTTAGACCCGAAGGTCTTCCTGTTCATGTTTGAAGTATTCCTATATTGCTGTTATTAGTACGCCTGCGCAGTAGTCTCACTAGAGATGGACCTGGCCTGAGTGTGATGGCAACTGTGTACTGTGAAGTAAACGTTGTTAAACTGGAACCTAGTCGTTGTCATTTTGAGTTAACATTGGTGGCAGAGGATGGCTAATAACTACAATGTGCCACCTCACTTCGACGTGAAGAGGTCATATGAAAGTTGGAAAAATGAACTTGGAAAAGCAAGCACTTGCGGTGGTATTATTGCTTGAGGGAAGAGCGAGAGACACAGCACTGGAAATATCCGTGGAGGATTTGAACAAGGATGACGGTATGAGAACTTTGATCAGAGCACTGGAATCTGTGTTCCTTAAAGAAGAGAAAGACCGTGCCTACGAGGTATATTCAAACTTTGACACTGTTACTAGAGTCATTTCGGTTGCAATGACGGACTACATAATTGATTTCGAACAGAGGTACAATAGAATGCGCAATTACGACATGGTTCTCCCGGATGCAGTGTTAGCTTTCAAGTTGCTAGATACTGCTTGTCTGGATGGTAGGGAGAAACAGTTGGCTTTGACTGCTTGTACTGTGCTGACTTTTGCGTCAATTAAGTCGGCACTAAAAATGATTTTTGGTAAAAAGACGTCTGTCGCGCCAATAACAGATGGAATGCTAGTGAGTGACGCGGCATTTTACACTGAGCAGATTAGAAAAGGCGCCAACAAGTCACATTCTCAAGACAACCAGACGAGGGCGCCATTGCCCGGCACAAATCCACTGGACCGGTATGGAAGGAGATCAAAATGTGCCATTTGTTAAAGCACTTACCATTGGGTTAAAGACTGTCCTCATAAAAATGAACAAGTTAAACTAACAGAGGAAAATGTAAAACACAGAGATGGAGCAGTGTAACATTACACTGTTTTCAAACGAATCTGCTTCTTAGATCTTTATAGTTGAATCCTTAGGATCTGCTGTGATTGATACTGCATGTACACGCACAGTGTGTGGTGCAAAATGGTTTGATAGCTATGTCAGTGAAGTAAATATAAAAGAAGTACAAAATATGATTGACACACCAAGCAACAGAGCTTTCAAATTTGGAGATGGGAGAGTCGTCCATTCTACCAAGAGAGTCAAGATACCAGCAAATTTGGTCGGACTAAGTGTCACATTGAAACAGAGGTGGTCCCTGCAGATATCCCCTTACTATTAAGCAAAGCTTCCCTCAAGAAGGCAGAGGCTGTACTAGGCAGTGATGTTTAAACAACCAGTGACCCTTGAACTTACTACCTCAGGCCACTATTGTGTAAACAGTTTAGATAAAGACATCACACAGAATCCATGTAAAAATGGACACAGAGCACATGGAGATTCTGACAATCAGAGAACATGACCAAAGAGCAAAAACACAAAGTATTGTTAAAACTTCACAAACAGTTTGGACATGCTATAGTTGACAGACTTCAGAAATGACTCAGCGGTTCTGGGAATAATGATGATGAGAGTATTTCCATTCTACGGCAGATAGTTAACAGTTGTGAGACATGCCAGATATACAGCAAACCTTAGCCCAGACCAGCTGTTGGTTTGCCACTGGCTTCCAAGAACAATGAAACAGTGGCTGTAGATCTACATGAGCTAGGACCAAGTGTGTGGTACCTTGACATAATCAACCACTTCACATTCTTCAGTGCTGGACGCATCGTGAATACAAAGAAACCCAGTGAAATCGTCAAGCACTTCATTCATTCCTGGATAAGTGTGCATGGCCCGCCCCAGAAATTGTACAGTGACAATGGAGGAGAAATCAATAATAATTAAATAAGAGAAATGGCTGAAAAATTCAACATGGAAGTAAAGCCAACTGCTGCATACAGTCCATGAAGCAATGGACTTCTGGAGAGACATAATCAAACACTCAAAGAGATCATGCTGAAAGTGAAGCAAGACAATAGAAGTGACTGGAAAAAAGCCCTAGATTGGGCTTTGAAGGCAAAAAACTCAATAAACAATGATCATGGATACAGGCCATACCAGCTAGTGTTCGGGAACCCTAATCTTCCCTCTGTACAGGTTGACAAGCCACCAGCACTAGAAAGGACCAGTGTGAGTGTATGGGTGGGACAGCACCTTTCAGCACTACGTGCAGCGAGAAAAGCGTTCACTGAAGCAGAGTGTTCAGAGAGAATTCGCAGGGCTCTGCGTAAACAGCTTCGACCCACGAGACTGGAAACAAAGTGTACTACAAACGAGTTGACTGTCAAGAGTGGAAAGGACCGTGAGTCATCATTGGCCAAGATGGTGTAGTGATATTTGTGAGGCACAATTGTCAGTGTGCATCACCCAAGATTGCGGAAAGTAAATGATCAACAAGATGGAAGGGCTGTTGTTGAGAATCAGCCTCCTACTGAAAATGACAAAAAGGACACATTAACAGACACAAACCTACCAGTTGTCGCATCCAATGATATGGACACTGAAACTGACACAGGAAATGGATCAAAGACCTTCAACCAAAACACAGGTAATACTGTTGAGGGTTCAAATGAGGAAAACATTCAACAACAGCCACATGTTAAGACAACATGGTTGTTCCAATCTGAAAACTGAACATTTACATGGACAGAGAAAGTGGTATTCCACACACAGCAACAGTCATTGGACAAGCAGGAAAAGCCAAAGGAAACTTGCAGTACTCTGAACCAGCTACACTTTTGGTACAACAGGGTCAGCTGACCTGTCACTTGTAGATCATCTCAGAATTTAACCAATGGAAAATCGAGAAAAAAAGGATGACATTCAAAATGATTATGTACTTGAAACAAAGGACGTGTCATTTGACTCAGCTAAACAAGATGAGCTCAGTAATTGGAGGAAAAATTGAGTGTTTGAGAAAGTCAAAGACACTGGCCAAAAATGTGTCTCAACAAGTTGGGTGTGTACCCTTAAAGAATCCTTAACTGGAATAGTGCCAAAAGCACATCTAGTGGCTAGAGGTTTTGAGGAGCTGGCTGCTAAAGAACTCCCAAAAGACTCACCGACATGCGCCTCAGAATCACTCAGATTGCTGCTGACTTTGATCTGCCAGAAAAAATGGAAACTTCATTGCATTTCTGCAGGGAACAGAGCTGTCAAGGGACATTCACATCTGACCTCCACCTGAAGCTAAGAGCAAAGGAACACTGTGGAAACTAAAAAAGTGTGTGTCTGGCCTGGCAGATGCATCACTCTACTGGTACAATAAAGTCAAGGCAACAATGCTGAATACAGGTGGAAGAATGTCACAAGTGGATCCTGCAGTCTTCTATTGGCTTGATCAAGACTGCAATGTGACTGGAGTACATGCCTGTCATGTTGATGACTTCATCTGGGGTGGCTCACAGACCTTTGCAACAACTGTGATTCCCCACCTCAAAGTTTTCCTGGTCGGCCACAAAGGAACAGCTTGCTGACTGTCTGACTAAAAAGGGAGCATCCGGTCTTGTGCTCCTAAAGGCACTAAGTAATGGAAAGTGGCAGCTTGAGTAATACAAATTAAAACTTTGTCACACAACCCATTTGTAATGGGGAACTTAAATAATACGTGATGCGACTATGTACTGTGGTTAATACGGTGAAGTAAACGTTGTTAAACTGGAACCTAGTCGTTGTGTCATTTTGAGTTAACACTTCTGTCAGGCCAGTCAAAGTTTTGCACAAAAAACTGCGGGAGCATTAATCTGCGTGCGGGTATCCATCTTTATTCCATAGGTTAGGCTATAGTCATTATCAGATATTAGATCAATGGGGAAAGTGACAACAATGTCTACATACAACGCACTGCAATCTCTTTCCTAGTGCATAGTCAAGTGTCAGTTTAAACACGGTTGAGCTCCAATGTCAATTGGACTTCCTCCTTCCTTACCTGATATTTCCTAGGTGTGTAGATGTTATCGTGGATGGCCTCCTGTTGCCACGGGAGACCAAAGAAAGGCCCCATGGGATTGGAGGCGGGGGTGACCAGCTGGAGTCCTGACATGCTGCTTCAGGACTGGGGGATGCTGGGGGTGCAGTCCTCCACTCGTCCACTTTCTCTTTATCTCATTTCCTCATTCTCTTCCTCTAAAACTTACTGGTTCACAAAACAACAGGCAGCATGCCGGCCGGATGTTACTAATAATACAATCATTACTAATATTATTGACAAGATCAATAATAAACATGATATTATTATTCACACAAGTGTATACTTACAGATAGGGTCATAGACTCTGTGATGGACCAGGCAGCACTAACTCTGGGCTTCATGATCAACGCTCATCAATCAGCTCATCATACTCCCCCGCATCTCAACTAGAGGAGCTGTACAGAGAAACACACAACCCCCCCTACATAAATTCCATGAATAGGCCTATTACACCGAAGCGAATCATACTGGTGTCCTAGATTCTGGCCAACCATCCTATCTATTACACGTTAGGCTTATGGTAAAACTAATTTTACCTCTACACAGTTGAAAGGCTGTAATGACAGGGCTTGAGGAGCTGAAGATTCTTCCTTCCTAAACAGCAATCACAGACAGAGAGGGAAAATAAATGAGAACACAGACATCTTGCTTGGCGGGAATGGGAGAGGGCTGGTGTGCAGTGGAGAAGGAAGCGCCCCTGCGTGTGGGGGGTGGGGGGGATCTACATTCTGGATGACAACTGGCTTTTCAACACATTTTTGCTGCCCTAAAATCAAGACCACACGCCTGCCCTGACCACTGCTGTAGAACCCAGCTGCAACCAATCCCAGAAGTCATTTCAGTTTAGCCAGCACAAGCCCTCATTTTTATAGAGTGCTCACATTTGCTGCTGGTTAAAAGCTGTTGGCGCTCTCTTGCTCTCTGATAGCCTCCCGAATGACACCCTATTCCCTATATAGTGCACTAAGCCCCTATAGATGGGTTGGCTGACAACATCACGAAAACAATGTTCACGCTTCCATGGGACAGTAGTCAGCCTGTTGTCGTGATTCTGGATGGCCAGATTGCTAGCAAGAATGACAAGAAACTGCCATGTGGGGAATCGTAAGTGTCTAGTTTCAGCTTGTTTCATCTTGTTACTGATACCATGTCTTGTTTTGAGGTGGTTTGACTGATTTCATGTCAATGCTAATATGGCTCAAATTCACTAGCTAGCTAACCAGCAACTGTAACAATGTATTTGAGAGACAAGTGGTCATTGCGCAAATGTATTTATGTGTTCAATAAACATTAGAGACGAAATATAGTTTACATGTTGTCAACCTCATCTGTTTTGCCCCATGGTTGCGCACGCGTTGTTTTTGTTGCTAAACAACCAACCCGTATATGGGCCCTGGTCAAAAGTAGTGCACTATATAGGGAATGTATGGGATGGGATGCCATTTGGGACGCAATCTCTGACTCCATGCAGAGAAAGAGCACATACACGCATATATAAATAAAACAAATCCAACAGAATATGCACATCTAGGCCTTGCCTCAAATGAAATGCATGCTGCTGACATGCCTCAACTTTCCCCTGGTTCTCATTGCTCTTTCCATGTCAAAGATCTCTCTGGGGAAGAGTGCAACCTTTTCTGAACCAGAACACTCTGATGAAGTAGGCAGTAATGATATAGCAATCACTGAAAAAATGTATTCGCTATACTGCAGTTCCTCACGACAAGCCGAATGCATGTCTACAGCCCGGAAAGGCTAATCTAGAACAAGCCCTTAGGGCCAATCTGCCTATCTTTCCACCTCGGCTGACTACTGTGACCCAGAAAGAAAGGGGGTGGAGTGTTGGACGCTAGTTGTGTCTGAAATGGCACCCTATTCCCTACATAGTGCACTACATAGAGAATAGGGCGCCATTTGGAACAGATTATTAAAAGTAGGCTTCATCAATAATTTATTCCTGTTTCTCTGCGGCCACTCGCATTTGGGGGAAGTGATAGAGAACAATTTTGTGTGAAGAAACATTTGCTAAGCACATGTGGGCTAAATGGTTACGTGACAACCCTCTCCACTTCAAAACCCCTGCACACGCTTGCACATATGATACACATTCAGGACAATTGGCTAATAATGAAACTGAACAGGGCTGGGTATATGGTGTGTGTGTAAAAGAGACAGAATAAACTAGTGAAATTGAGATGGGCAACTGTACTTTACCATAACCCAGTGTTTCCCCTATATTCATTAAGCAGCCAAAAAATATGATACAAAAATACACAGTACCAGTCAAAAGTTTGGACACACCTACTCATTCAAGGGTTTTTCTTTATTTTTACTATTTTCTACATTGTGGAATAATAGTGAAGACATCAAAACTATGAAATAACACATATGGAATCATGTAGTAACCAAAAACAAATTAAAAGTTAAACAAATATATTTTAGATTTTAGGTTCTTCAAATAGCCACACTTTGCCTTGATGACAGCTTTGCACACTCTTGGCATTCTCTCAACCAGCTTCATGAGGTAGTCAACTGGAATGCATTTCAATTAATAGGTGTGCCTTGTTAAAAGTTAATTTGTGGAATTTATTTCCTTCTTAATGCGTTTGAGCCAATCAGTTGTTGTGACAAGGTAGGGGTGGTATACAGACGATAGCCCTATTTGGTAAAAGACCAAGTCCATACTATGGCAAGAACAGCTCAAATAAGCAAAGAGAAACGACAGTCCATCATTACTTTAAGACATGAAGGTCAGTCAATATGGAACATTTCATGAACTTTGAAGGTTTCTTTCAGTGCAGTCGCAAAAACCCCCAAGCGCTATGATGAAACTGGCTCTCATGAGGACCGCCACAAGAAAGGAAGACCCACAGTTACCTCTGCTGCAGAGGATACATTCATTAGAGTTAACTGCACCTCAGATTGCAGCCCAAATAAATGCTTCACAGAGTTCAATTAACAGACACATCTCAACATCAGACTGCGTGAATCAGGCCTTCATGGTCGAATTGCTGCAAACAAACCACTACTAAAGGACACCAATAAGAAGAAGAGACTTGCTTGGGCCAAGAAACACCAGCAATGGACATTAGATGGGTGAAAATCTGTCCTTTGGTCTGATGTGTCCAAATTTGAGATTTATGGTTCCAACCGCCGTGTCTTTGTGAGACGCAAAGTAGGTGAACGGATGATCTCTGCATGTGTGGTTCCCACCGTGAAGCATGGGGGAGGTGGTGTGGGGATGCTTTGCTGGTGACACTGTCTGCGATTTATTTAGAATTCAAGGTGCACTTAATTAACCAGCATGGCTACCACAGCATTCTGCAGCGATACGCCATCCCATCTGGTTTGCGCTTAGTGGGACTATCATTCGTTTTTCAACAGAACAATGACCCAAATCACACCTCCAGGCTGTGTAAGGGCTATTTGACCAAGATGGAGAATGATAGAGTGCTGCATTAGATGACCTGGCCTCCACAATCCCCCGACCTCAACCCAATTGAGATGGTTCGGGATGAGTTAGACCGCAGAGTGAAGGAAAAGCAGCCAACAAGTGCTCAGCATATGTGGGAACTCCTTCAAGACTGTTGGAAAAGCATTCCCCATGAAGCTGGTTGAGACAATGCCAAGAGTGTAAAAAGCTGTCATCAAGGCAAAGGGTGGCTACTTTGAAGAATCTAAAATATTTGTATTTGTTTAACACTTTTTTGGTTACTACATGATTCCATATGTGTTATTTCATAGTTTTGAAGTCTTCACTATTATTCTACAATGTAGAAAATAGTAAAAATAAAGAAAAAACCTTGAATGAGTAGGTGTGTCCAAACTTTTGACTGGTACTGTATATTTTAGAGAAAAACAACAGGTTGATAAAACATTTCAGTGTAAACTTAAATGACTAAAACCAGATATAAAGTATGTAGAAAAGATAATGGACCTATATATATATATAGATATATATATATATATATATATATATAGATAGATATAGATAGATAGATATTTTTTTTATTAGATCATTTTCGAGCACTAACAATCACCAAAGTAAAAACTAGATTATCAGGGAAAATCTAAAATGCAAAAAGTTGATTGTTATGTTTGAGTCACTCTGATAGCATAAGAACATGGCATAAACCATGGCAAAATGTGTTGAATTGCAGGACATTTATTTTAAAACATTACCAGTCCACAAAATGTCAACATAAATGTATACATAGCACATCATTCATTGTGCATAAATATAGCTAGTTCAAACTGAGAACATAATTTCTCACCACCAACAAGCAACTTGCTAACAAATTTCATTTCGAATCATCAACCAACACATTCCAAACTACGACGAGAGATCAGGCCAGGGAAAGAATAATGACTAGCCAACTATACATCTTAATATTTGAATAGTTTCTACGTTAGGCCCCAATGAGACCTTGGCCTTTCAGTGAAACGAGTTAGCCAAGTTAGTTAACGTTAGCAGGCGAGCAAATGATAAAAACTGGCTGTTCCGTTAGCATTTAGTAAGCTAGCTAACTAAGCACAGGTGGCTAGCTACATCAACCTGATGGCAAACAAACACGTCCACGAGGACAAGTTTATACCTTGGACAAATGTCTAAATAGATTAACAAATATTTAATGTGGTTATTCTTTGATGGATTGATAGATGCAATTGCTTGCTATCCCACGCGTGCAGCTAGCGTCGCTACCGAATTTGACAGTGACAGCTTAGCAAAGTAGCTAACTAGTTGGCTGGTTGACTAATTAGAATGAAATACACAGAGCATAGATGTATAACATTATTTTGTCTAAGACGACTGATGGACATAGTTACATGCAAAGCTACAATGTGTAAATTGTATATTCGAATAATGATTAATGTGCAAAGAAAGTGAGCCACGCTATCTAGCTAACGTTAGCTTGTTAACATTATTGACTAGCTTAGTTTTTAAGCAAATATACTTATATTGTGGGTGCGACAAGGCATATTTCACTCTGTCGACAAAGCCCGCGCAAAGCCACCAGTAAGGAATAGCATGCATTCCTAGTGCTTCCGTTAAACGTCCTCACCTAATAAAT